ATGCTGACGCCATAACTCTCAGTTTTAGCACATATTATCAAAGCGTTGCTGCAAACAAAACGTTTCTTTAGATTACATTTTTTGTGTAAACACTTATTTTCAAGATCTAATCAAATACAAAACATTTGTACTGTCTATACACAGAAAATCAACTACTGAAATACATATCATATAGCTTCAAGATTTCAAAATGAAAGCTCCACATCTTTATAAATAAGCGTATTGACTTTATGCCGATAGTTAGACGCTCCGATGTCTGTGTGGTTAATCTATAGCTATACCGGGGCAGCAGCTGGTTAGCTTGGCTCTAAGATAAGGACGACAAATGACTGCTCAACACATAACTGTCAATTAAAACCACAACATATTGTTTGCACACTTATTGTTTTTTTATTTACAAAACAAGATACAGTATCCCATGTTAATAAGCAAGATGTAGTCCAGAGATGGCGTTTGTGTACGTTCTGCAATGGTTGAGCAAGTTGTCAGAAATGAACGCGTTACACAAAGTAAACAAAGGGTTAAAAAAGCAATTATTTCCTGTTGTTGGATGTCGGGGCTGTCTGTTTCCCCTTGATTTTTAGTCTCGATGATTATTTAAATGTACTGGCTTCTAGCAGTAGCTTCAAACTTTAGGCAGATGGCACATTTCCAAAAAATGTCAACTTATTCCTTGAATTCAGCAAAGTACATGACTGAATTATGCAAATGAAAACTGATTGGCGTACCAAACTAAAATGATAATGCCCTTGTTAAAACACATGAATATCAAGGTGGAGGTGTGTTTGTCTTTATTTCCTGAACACAGTCTGGAAGCCAGCCATGCAGAGGAGGCATTTTGGTGTTGAACATGAGCCAATTGTCAGCGATGTTTATGAGCAGTAGAAAGTGCAGAGTCCTTGTCTCACAATTGTCTGACTCCTAACTCAAAGTAAATTGGCCTGAAGCACTGAGGCATTAATGCACCTGTCACACTATACACCCTCAGATCTCTCATGTCAAACACATTGGTCCCTCTACCCAGATTGCCTTGGGGCTTTTACCCAGACCTTTCATGCCAGTATAGACTCGGATCACCTTTAACTGAATTCAGTGTGACCGTCTTAGTCACCAGTAGACTTTTCACATAATTCCTCTCAACACATTTCTTAATTCCGCGCATGTGTTTCTCAACAAGCGCACCCTTAATTTCATTTGTAAGCAGGTCCACTCTGACTACATTAGATCCTTCCTGATGAATATGGAGGGCTTAAGCAAACCTGCTTGTCACACAACTACAATGTTTCATGCCCTTTTGATTAACATGGAATGGAAACAATTAGGTGGGGGAGCTGGTGAGGCAAAGCAGTACATTCAACTGCTTTAAATGCTAATTAGCTAATGGAGGATGAAAGAGGAAGGCAACTGGCCAGGTCTCACATGAACACACTCGAACTCCGGCTACAGCTACGCTCGTTTAATCAGAATTTACCAAGACCACCACCATTTTGTTTCCTTGAGTACCTCAGAAGATACAGCCATCTTGTGTAATTACATTTTTTGGTAATGATCTTAAATTAGGCTTAACTCATTATGTTACCGTGTCTTTTTTGAATAATCTCTTATTCTGATGTTTAATCACTTCTGTCTTCTCTTTTTAGTTATTATAGATTTTCTAATCCAGGCGCTTTTAATATGATTTCTCTCAGATCATAGAGGTATTCTCATGGTATTTGAGGAAATATATTGGGCTTCATCGAGCTGTTTAAGTGATTTTTTCCGTCATTCAGACGCAGGGGTCTTTTGCGTTAATGCCCCTTACAACTACATTAAGACAATAACAAAAAAAAGCTGCATTCTCACAAGATATTTGTCCTTTAACAAGCTACATAACTGATGGATTTAAAAACCTATTTTTCCGTCACTGTGTTAGTTAATGGGTCTCCTCACAGTGAATCCACAAGCTTTCGTGTCAGCTTCAACATTTAACTTATAAGAGCAAATTCAGCTGCCTTCTTTTATATTAATTTATTCCACATTTAGCATTAATGAAATTAAAAGTGTATGGAGGATGTGCTGGTATGATAATAACTGTGGTTGCAATAGGATTGTTTTAACACCCTTTCTCTCTCTTTCTCTGTCTCTGCTTATTAAACTGGTTCAGATTTGTAACGTGTTGAAAATGATATGGAAAGTGTAACAAGGTCCTACTTGCTACTCCTTGAAAGGGGTGATTAACACATGCCTTGCCTTGCCTTACATTTATCCCATGTCACTGCCATTCACACAAGATCCGGGTCTACAATTGTAGTTCCAATCGAATCACTGGTAAACTATAGAGTTAAATTCAACTTTGTATAAATCCAAATGACCGATAGTGCTTTAAAAGTAATCACTTTGCTCAATGCTAAATCCCTCTGGATTAATGTTTCATTCTAAGTGTCTTACATGGACATTTAAGTGAAGAAGCAATTAGGCTGTTTACCTTAGTATGCTATTTGAGAATACATTCATGGTCTTAACAGTTCCTTTCATTTCCCCTCTGACTAGGTATTAAAATAAGCTATTCCTTCTTTCTAATCTGATTGGAGCCGATGGCTACAGTGGGATATGAGTTCCTCAGTTGTTGTGAACTGAATTGGGTTGTATGTATTGGGGAAGACAGTGATTGTCTGAAAGTATTTTAGTTTTTTCTTTCCGTCAACAACAAAACCAACTCAGCCATTGCTTTCCACTAAAGAAGCTCATCTATTGAATTGCTCACATTGTATATAGATTATTTATTGACAAAAAGCTAAAAGTGTTTAGCACACGTTATGTAAAAAGTAGTAATTAGTGCAGTTTCCGTTGCAAATGAATAGATATTTAGTGCACTACGCACCAGAACAGGCAAAGAAAACTGAAGTGCTAATGTTCGTCACAATAAAAGTCACCCTGTGCAAATGTGTCCCAACTTCATTGTGTATTTCTGTGTTGGATTTGGAAACAATGGTCAATGGTGCAGATAAATTGGATATATGACCCTAAAACTGATCGATAATATCCTTATTTGTAAATAGGACAATTATTTTTACGACGGTCATGTCTTCAAAACACTCGTCAAAAACACTTTGTCTGGCCTATAATCCATAACAAATATATTGATATATATGCATTTTCAAATTATATTTAACTACAGAGAAGTTACCTTGATGAATGGCTCAAACCGTTAATCTATATCATTTTCACTTGATTACATTACATGTTACTTGTTAGACGCTTTTATCCAAAGCGACTTACTTACTCAATACTGTGGACAATCACCACAGGAGCAATTTGGGGTGAAGTGTCTTGCCCAGGGACACAACTACATGCTGACTGCAGTGGGGTTTGAACCTGTGACCCCCTGATCCGAACACCAACGCACAACCCACTGCGCCACACGCCTCCCCACTTGATGAGACTATATCATGCTTAAGCTACATAGTCAGAACAACAATAAGATGATTCCATTGTTGGTTTCAAAGGTATCTTGTCCAGATTTCTTTTACCAGTATCATCTCTATGAAGATATCTTATCTGTTTTAGTTGTTCTTGTGCTAAAAGAAGCACATTAGCATGTGGCAGTCATGAAGTACATTGCTGCCAATGATTTCACACTTCACACAAAACACTAAATGTAAACAGTAACTTTGTTTGTATACAAGAAAAACTCCACATGGTACCTCTTACTCTTTTCGTGGGATTTTATGACACATAGAAAAATATAGAACATTGCCAGCCATATCCCATTACACTACATTTGTGGACTCACAACCTTCATCTTGTTCAACCCATACTAAATCACACATCATTTGGTTCAAGGGTTGTCAGGGGAATTTTCTATCTTGGAAACGGGATACTAGACTGCGAGACATCATTTAATTGGAATCTCTGCATCATTTGGAAGGAGGAATCAAGGGGCTCTTTTAGGGTCGTCACAAATATCTACCCACTCTGAGTGTTTACATATTTTATCACTCACCGGTGTATTACACTCTCGGCAACACGGACAGTCGTCTGAAATAAACATCTCTATCATCTCTCCCCAGTCTGTCAGGGGTTGCAGATTTTGTTGATTTCCCTTAAAAGCCCCAAATGTATCACAACCTTCAGTGCTCCTTTGAGAGAGAGTATGAATAAGACCGGGGGGAGGAGAGGAGAGGAGAGGAAAAACCTTGCTGTCATGAAAAGAGCCGCTTCCTGGCTGGCTAGATGCAATCATGGCCACTATCTGATAGCGCCGGAGGAAATTGGATGAGCTGAGAGCCTTTGGCTGCCAGTGATGGGAAAGATGACTCCTTTGTCACTGTGTCAGTCAATTCCATACTCTCACCTGAGAGACCAATCAATAACAGCGGGGAAGAGAGGTTTTCTCTGGTCTATAGCCCTCTGCTGTGGGCGGCTGTCAATTATGTGCTGTAAAACATCCTCTGCGTCATAGGGATGAGGAATGGCTTATGTTTTATGGTCCGCATAAATATGTCATGGATGTGGTTAAATGCGATGTTTTTGTAGATTTAGAAGTATGCTTTTAATAAATTATGAAATGTTGGAAGGTAACGATGCTCTCTGTAATTACAAGAAACCACCATTAATATTGCACACATGGTTCTAACAATTTTATTTGTGGGATTCTTTTCTGTGTGTATGTCTACATCTAAAAAAGACTTGGATTTCGGCACTGGTTGTAATGAATGTTGTCTCATCTTTGCTGCTCGCAAGTGGTGCAACTGCTCTCATTAGCAACTGCATCATTAGCTGTGCAATTATAGTGCATAAAACCCAGAGAGACCAATAACTATCAGTTGCTGTCAGGGCATGTAGTATTACATCAGGCATGGAGGACATTTCGCTTGATGTAGGGACCCAGACTCTCACTGAATGATTCATGACCGTGATAGCGGGCAGGCATCGTGAGATTAACATTATTCTTTGCTCAATATGGCTGGGCTGTGTAAGGTGATGCTAAACTGTTCTTTCCTTTCTTCCCCCACCTGCAGTTCCCTAATACCTGTGAGGAGTCTGCTTCCCCATTCGTCTTCATCTGCACCAATGCCCAAGAGATGCTGGTGAAATTCCCCATGAAAGGGAAGCACAAGATCTGTAAGTCCTACTCATTTAATGTAAAATGAAGTGGATAACATTAGCATATTCAAAATAAGGGTGTTCTTTTATCATTTATTATCAGCTATCTACTCTGCATGTATGTGCACCCACGCATACACAAATGAGCCTGCAAAAGTGAAGGACTGATAACTAGGCACAGGGTCTGATTACTATGTGTTCATTAATAAAACACAATCACTAACACATAGAGTGTACTCCCACATACTCGTGTACAGATCCTCTCTGAGAGCCATCTGTAAAGACAGGATTTTTCTGTCAGGTTGCCTGGGGGACAAGCTAGGCCTGGATGTGCAATGTTGTTGCTGTATTGTGTGATTTATAATAGGACTCAAATGCATTTTCCCTTTGCTGCCAGTGCTGCTGCTGCAGAATGATGTACCAACAAGCTCTTTTGTTGATATTTCAAAAGCATCTGAAGACTATAGAGGATTTTTTTTACGCAGTCGACCTACAGAGATCTCTTTCAGATCTTACTCGTCGATTCAGAAAGGCTTTTAAATAGATGGAGATTCTGACCTTTTGCGATTGTTTTGAAAATATGGAACATTTAAAAAGGTTTGAGAAGTTTAGGACTGACCTGCCAGGGAAAACAGTTTCAGATGTTTAGCAGTGAAGTTAAGTTTGATTAGTGATATACGATGTCTAAGAAGTATGTAAATACTGTAAAAGTCTTTGTCTCGGGTTTGGAGGATAGCAATATGTTCCACTTTCCTTCTACTCTAGATGTGTTGTGAAAAAACAGGCCACTCACGACGCCTCTCATTTTATTTTGAAGTATTTTGTGTTTATACATTTCAATCTAACTGGCAGTACCATGGTCTTGAATAAAAAGCTGTACTTGATGAAACCTGCTGACACATTGTTACAGGCTGGCGTAGGCACAGATCGCTGTAGGGAATCTTTACTCACAACATTTAAACCTACAGTAGCCTGTGCACCTGGTGGTTTAGTAAATATGGCTTTGTTTGAACTTGTTTTTTAGTCAATTGAATACCATGAATAATGGATACCTTCCGCCTGTTACTTTGACTTATCTCAGAATTTCGCCATGGGGACAAATAATAAGCTCTCCATTTTTGTTATTCTTTAAAAGAAGATGATACGCTATCAAATACATTGCATTTATACTATCTATATATAATTTAAACCGGCAATACCTTCAAATAGGTCATCTTAATTCTTCTGTAATTTCCTTCAAAACGGTATTGGCTCAAACAGGCTTCCAGCGTTGTAACAGTGCTGGCTCTATGTCGTGTAATTTGATACTTATTCTTAGCCAGACATAAACACACATACCAACCCACAACTGTTCAGCGTGCAGCCTGGAGACAGCTGTTCTTATTTGAGTTGTACTAAGATTAAAATAAGAAGCCTTAAATAATGTAACGCATTCACATTTACAAACATGGACAAACCCCTACAAATGGAGACTGGAGCCAGTTGATGATTCTGTACATACTACACTGCGTGAAACACAATATGTAATTCAAAAACCAGACTGATTTTTAGCATTGGTGTCCCAAGTCAAATTACATTAAAAGTATTTCAGATTATAACACATTTGCAAAAGAAATTAGGGTTAGGATGGTTTCAATTAAAAAGCTATTTTTTTATTATAGCTATTGTTTTTACGTCTCATAGCATCCTGCATGTGTGCAACATTGCATGCTTCTGTCATGTAGTGTGCATTGATTGGTTTTGTAACAGTGCTGGCTCTGTCATGTAATTTGATACTTATTCTCAGCCACACACACACACACACACACACACACACACACACACACACACACACACACACACACACACATACACATACACATACACATACACATACACATACACATACACACACGCTTACTGTTTAGCAATACAGCCTGGTGACTGCTGCTCATATTTGAGTTAAACTCACAGTAAACATCCTGACATAAGCAACCCAACAACCCTTACATAACCCAACAAATTCACATTTAAAAGCATTGATAAACCAATAAAAATGCGCAGAGACATTTGATAATTCTTTATATTCTAGACTCGGTGAAGGAAAACATGTAATTCAAGAAGCAGGGATGTCTTCAGAATTGAGGTCCATTTACAAATGTCAAATTGAATAATAAGAATGAAGATTATAACAAATTTGCTAAATGGGTTAGGGTTATTTCAATGAATGAGATATCTGTTTATAATACACATCATCCTTCCCTCACCCACCATGTCTCGTGTGCATTGATCCCGCCTTTCCCCCTGTGGTCCGCATTAGTCCGGTCTTTGGATCAGATATCCTGACCCACTGGACCTACACAGTCCAGCCTGTCTGATTCCTCTGTCACCAGCTAGCTTTTCACTATCTCACTCTCTTGCTCTCTCGTCCCCTCTTCCACCTCAATTCCCACTGCATCTCACGGGTCAAGGCATTGCCGCTCATCTTGCTCAGGGGGGCTTAGCACAAGTATTTTTTGCTCCCCCGGCAGCTTACATCGACAAGTTCCTCTTGTCGCTGGCGTTGCCAACCATCTCATGCCTCGTCAGAATGAGCAAAGGCTAGTTCCCTGGATTGTTACCCTTACTTTCCGCTTCAGTACAAACCATGCTCAATTGTTGTTTCATTGTATTCGCGTTAAACATTCATGTGTTAGAAAGTGCCTAGGGTAATGTGTATAAATGGAAATGTGTGGCTGCTTTGATTGTTTCATCAAGCAAATTCTGCAAACGTGTTGTGTTGTCTGTGAGAGCTGTGATTACGCTCTAAATATTAGGTTGTCAGATGCTAGCTGGAGTTTTTAGTCCAAGCTTTCCTTATTTATTATTTATTTAAATCCCCATTAGCTGTTACCTTGGCAACAACCACTCTTCCTGCGGTCAATTTAGGAAATGCATACAGTTCAAATGCTTACACAGAACTGCTTTTATCTCCACATATTACATCTCTCTATTATTGTTAAGTAACATTTACACGAAACACAATGTAAAAAAAACACTAAAGTGAACATTCATTTGTTAGTCTGGTGATGAAACATATTTTGGTCTAATTGCTTCGCAAGTTATTGCTGTTGTTGTTCTGAGGCTCTCCTGCATTTGTGCTTGATTTGAAGCTGCTTATGTTTTTATGTGAATAGGGATGAGGACGAATGAGCTGAGAGCGGACTGATTCTGCAGTCTAGTGTTTTTGCTCTTTTCTGTGGGATCTGCAGTCCTAGCAGACGCTTTTCCTTACTGCTAGTGTCAGAATGTTGCATCTTACAGCAATGGAAGCCTGAAAGGACAGGGAAAGGGAGCACACCCACAAATGGAGGAACATTATTGGATGCATTTAGCAATTATCAAAAGATGCTGCTTCTCTCTCCAGACCGTTTCACTGTTGGCTTTGTAGACTATATGCTAGGCTGTGCTCGATACAGTTTGATCATTCATTTCCCTGTGGAGGAGCCTGTGACATTTAAAATGGCATAAAGCCAAGGCTCACTCCCTGTAATAAGGGAGGTGCATTATGGTTTATGGTCACATCCTGTAATCATTTGTATCTGTGTGTGTGCGCGTGCTTCTGTGTAAGCTGAAGGTCAGTCTGGGTGTTGAAAGCTATTTGGCTCCTGATATAAAGCCACATTTCCTTTTTCTCTTCCTTATAGCTATCCTTCCCTTGCAGCATGTTTTTTATGGACTGACACCCCCAGTATGATGTGGCTATGTAGACACAGCTAGTTTGTACATACCCACATAGTAAAAATGAAGCACAAATCATATACCGCTATATTTAAAGCTCTAGTAGAAGTGCCAAACTGACTGGACCATTTTTCAAAAACAATTACATAACCTCAGCTGATTCTGAGGATGCTATCAAATTAAATGCTAACATTGATAATTATAACAGCAAGTTCAAATGACCTAATTAACTGATTTTGAAGATTATTGAGAGGTTGGTGTTCTTTGGTCGCAGTGGACGGTTTATTATCTTGAAGCATGAGATTTATGACCTCTTGGCCCCATGCTGGACCTCAAACCAGTTGAAAGCCTCACAAATAGCCTCCAAACACGTTTCATTTTATGACTAGAATCTGAACCTGATCCTCAAGTCTGGCAGAGATCTGAGACTGATGTAGTCTATTTAACAAGTTTAAATCACGTTAAACTTTAATCATTGAGGCTTAACTTGGATTCTTTGTTGAATTTGTAGAACTTTGGTAGACAACATGCTGTGGCTGCTGTTCCTGAATGAGCTTCAAGCTACTTTCTGTTCTGCAGAACAAAGCATTAGGTAACCTGAGAATTATGTTTGACCTTCCTATTATGACGCCTCCGATGAATTAAAATCCTATTGCTTCCGAGCATGAAGGGTGGATACCCAGAGTAATGTTCCGTGAGTGAATCAAATGGCTTCAAGCGTTGTTGAGAGCTTGCTCGACCAGTAAGAAAAAAACAGTACAAATCTCTTCAACAGCCACTCTCATTTCAACTGACTAAAGCTCTGAATCAGAAAAAAGGAGTTCAGCAGTTCAAGTATTCACAACGGTTGATAAGCTTAAGGCATCTAATGCCTTTTGTTCCGTCTTGCGATCATTTGACAGGCTTCTAAGAAAATGTAATCACACTTAATAAAATACGGCTCTCGAGAGTGCATTTGTTCTACAAAGATTCATCCATTATAGAAACAAAAACAGAATGTCCTTAAGCAGTGGTAGAAGAAAAAAGGTCATATCCAGCTCTTCACTTATTTTGGTGCTGAATGTATAACTCTTGTGATATGACATATGAATTCAGTGAGGGCTTTGTGAGTACTGGCTTATCTTTTCTACAAAGATTAGTCACTGTGATGGCTCTCCAGCAGCTACACAAGAACTCTCTTTCTGAGGTTGGATCCAACTGCAGGAAAGGAAGTCATGGATATAATTGCTAAGATGAAAAATTCGGCTGCAGCTGCAGGTCATGATGAGATCTTTTTTATCTCTCCCAGCGTAAGTCATTGACATATATAATCTCCAAAT